AAAAAAAAAAAAAAAAAAAAAACTACTGGAGACTCCTTTTTTTTTTTTTTTTGGCTCATATGTAACTGGTTATATGAATATATAAATGCATAAATGCTGGAGAAATCCCTTCATGTCTCAAAAACCAAGCAGACTCACCTGTGTTTTAATTTGTGTTCATTAACCTGTTAAAGGCAAGGGCTGAAGATAAAGTAGTGATATCTACTTTATATATTCGATCATTACTCTGCTGATCTAATTAGAATTCCCTGTATCCAAACCACTGCCTTGTACTTATTGAAAAACGTTTTAGTGTGGTTTGTGTATACAACCAGTTAAAGAATGTGTAACACTTAACATATTTTAAAAATGACTTGTAAGGTCAGACATTTTTGAAAGTCAGTGTGACAAGATTTAGTAGCAAGTAAAATTTTACCTCTGAATTCTATTATCTAAGTCAGACTAAGTTATATTTCAGAATTGTTAGACAACTGTTCAAAACCACAGAGAAACTAAAGAACTACTATATATGTGTGACTAGTAATGGTGCTTTTGCCAATTTATTAGAGGGGTTCAAGTAGAGGAGATAAATCATCAGCATAAATTTGTAAATTATGCCATCATAAGACATAAGATAATTAAAAAACACATGACAGATTTAAAAAAAAGAAAATCTGCATGGATTTCAAAGTTTTGTACGCCAAAACAAGCAACAAATTTGTACTTTAGTTTCCTTTTTTCCACAAACATTTTGAAGTCTCCTCATATGTTTAGGTTTATTTCTGGGATCTCGACGTTGTTGCACTTCTTTACATGTCCATTTTATGCCAGTACCTTATTGTTTTATTCAGGTATGTTTCAATTTGCTAAAGGTTGCAGAGAAAATCAGAGAAAGAGAGAGTAAGAAAGAAGAAGAGAAAACGTGAGAAAGAACCCCTTCCATGGGGGATGGTTATGCCACATTCACTTCTTCATTTCTCCTTTCAAGATTTTGGGCATTCACACACACACACACACTCCCAGCATGTTTTTAAAGCCTCGGGACCCAGAATTCAAATCATGCAGTCCATGTGGGATCCAGCTGCCTTGACCACCATGCAATTGGCTAGCCCCTATACTGTTTTATTCTGTAATATATTTTGAAAACAAAAAAGGTAATACATTCAGTTTTGTTCTTTCTCATGATCATTTTGCTATTTGGGTTCCTTTGTGATTCCATGAGAATTTTAAGATTGTTTTTCCATTTTCTGTTAAAATAAAAATGTTCTGTTGATCACTTTGGGTAGTACTGCATTTTATTTCATTTTATTTTATTATTTATTTTTATAGAGATTTTTGCTATAGAGCATATGTTGAATACACACAAAACAAGCATACACACACATGCATATATAAATGTACATACTAATTTGATATATTACATTCAAGCATATATGATATAAATAATATATATAAACATTTAAGTTTGTATGTATATGTATGTAAATAAAGTAGAAAACAATACTGTGCATAGGTGTGTTAAGGAAATATTTGCATTAAGTTTATTGGAATTTATTTTAGAGTAAGATTTAACATTTACTTTCTCTCTAAAATGTCACAACATATTGAATAATTTTTCATAATTTTTCTGCAATTATTTATAATGTGAGAAAATGTTATTGACCAATGTCTGTGCACTTGAACTTACATATATTTTATTTATAACGTTAGAGATATTAAACAACATTTAAAAAAAAAAAAGAATCCAGTTGACCATTAGAATAAAATTAACTTGTATAAGTAGGTTGAAACTTCAACATCCTAAGGCAATGGTTATATTGCTAATAGAACATAATCTGTAATGAGAAACTCCATTTAAAAAAGCAAAACCAAAAATAGTAATTCAAGATACAGTAATGGGACCAGTTGATGATGTAATAGTTATGCCCCTGGATGTGCGCATAGTCAACCACAGTTTGAGTCCTGGACCCAGTGGCTTAAAACTCACACCAGGTGTGTGTGTGTGTGCATGCGTGCATGTGTGCATATATGCCCAAAATCCTGAGAGGAAAATGGAGAAAGGATTGCAACATGGCCAATTCCCCATTTTTGTCTCTCTTTCTGGTGAGTGCACATGCCCTATAGCAAAAATCTCTCAACAAAAAAGAAAAGAGAGAAAGTAATGAGGAGCCAGCAGATAGCATAGAGGTTACATGGCTGGTCTCCTACATGGTTGACAGAGATTCAAGTCCCAGACCTGGTGACTTGAAACTCAGGCCATGCATGTCTGTGTGCGTGTGTAAGATCCCAGGAGGAGAATAGAGAAGGAACTGTAGCATGACCATCCCTCTTCCTGACCCCCCTCCCCCCAAGGAGATGATTTCCCACTTACCCTCTCAGTGTCCCTGTCTCTTCTCTCTCTCCAGTGAGAGCACATGCCCTAAGGCAAAAATCTCTTAAAAAAAACTTAGAGAAAGTAATGAAACAGTTGTTCGTTAGATTGTACTCTAGGTACTTTTTAATCATCTTTTGCCTTTTACTCTTTAATGATTTTAGTTACAATTATATTAGATTAGTGAATATTTTCATAATACCAGGAAATAGTAGGATATCAGTAGGGGGAAAATAGAGATTATGTTTTCCCCTATTTCAATCAACCAACTAATATTTATGAATTATTCACTGAAACAACACACCAACTCTATGCCAGAAACAACTCTAGCCAAACATAAAAAGATAAAAAAAAAGAAGTCCTATGTACATCAAATTTATATTCTCGTCAAAAGAGATAGATTCCATGAAAGAAAACATGAAAAAACCCTAGGAAAAATAAAACAAAAGTAAGAAAATGAACAAATTAGGAAAAAGTTAATCAGTGCTGTAAACATTACATTGAATAAATGCACTAATTCTGATGTTCTGTTCACTATATCAATGATTTCTATTCCTCTAAGTGGTCACAAAAGCTTTCTCTTACTTGCTGGGACTCTAGAAACCCAGTTCAGAGATTGAGATCTCTCCTTGTCTAAAGGGAGCTTCTTTGGTAGGATTTTAAAGGGCTTGGGGCTGATGCTCTCTCCTTTGACTATCATCTAATCAAGAGGGAACACAGGTGTCCTTTTGTCTTAATAAATTCTGAGAGTCCATACCATTCCTCAGTCTCTTCTTCCTGATCTTCCATCAGAGGACTTTATCTTTTGTCTTTAGGCATTTCCAAGTGCCAGACTGTGTCTTATAATTCCAGGGGTCATAGTTCAAGGTCGTTGAGTGGTATTAGTAAATCCTCTTCAGCAGAGAGGAAAGAAGGTGATGCATTCTTCCTCACTCTTAATTCTTTACTGTATGTATCAAGAGGGCACAGTTCAGAGCACAGTATCAATTCTCTCTGAAAAAATAATTTCTAATCTTTAATTCCTCTCTTGATCCCACCAGCCCCTTTTATAGACTGTAGGTTGATAGTTAGCCAAAAGATGTGAAATCAGCTTGTTCGACTCCTATGAAAGTCCTACATAGATGGTCTAGCACATCACTTTAGACTGCTGAAGAGTTTTTCACCACTTGTTTTATGAACTCAGCTGTAGTTAAGGTCATAATTGCCAACCTAAGGTTTTAAAACTGTAATAACTAGAGGCTAGGAAGTTAAAATAAGGTAATCTGATAGAGTCACTGGATGGGTCCTTTGACTAGATTATTCAGAAGAATTTAGAAGAAGGAATGAACCATGAGAAGATCAGAGGAAAAAAACATTCTGAAAGGACAAAAGAGCTAAGAGGAGGTCCTAAGGTGGGAAAAAAATTATTCAAGAATAGTCATAAAACAGAAAGCAGTTCAGTATGAGAAGAGTATGTAGATGAGGAAGAGAAAGAAAAGCCAGAGGAAAAAAAATTAAAACTAAGGTTTGTTGGGCTTTATAATCCACAGAAAGAAGGTTTTAAGTTTTTGTTTTGGTTAGGACATATGAGCTCACCAAAGAAAGACAAAGAGAGGGAGAGTGAGAAGTCATCCCCTAGAGGAGATAATCATGCCCCAGTCCCTTCTTTTCTATTTCTCCTCTTGGGATTTTGGGCATGCACATACATCAGTGTGTTTTTCAAACTGCTGGGCCCAGGACTGGAGCCAAGCAGTTTGGCATGTGGGATCCAGCTGCCTTAAGCTCCACACCATCTGTTGACCTGAAAAAAGGTTTTAAAAAATGGTATCTAAAGAGAAGAATCAAGGCTAACTATTCAATCTCTAGCTGAGTCCAGCTCGTCATTACAAAAGAGAAAGAGGAAAGAACGAATGAAAAAGAAGAAAGAACGAAAAAAGCAAGAAAGAAAGAGAAAGAAAGAACGAGAAAAAGAGAGAAGAAAGAAAGAAAAATAAGGAAAAGGGAGCCTGTCCTTTCGTGGGGAGGAGTGATGTGTCTTGACATCAGGCCAAGACTTTCAAACTGATTCACAACAGA